CTCCCAGGATAGAACGGACGTACCTTTTCTGGCTGTACCGGTACTTGAAACACCAGAATTCGACGAACGCAACGATCGGAGAGAAGTCACACGACTCTGTTTTTCTTTATGAGTTTGTAGAGAGGAAATGCAATGAAGAATGAAAAATTCTTTTATCTTTTGGCCAGAAAATTTTTTTGGGAAAATAACTTATGTCCAAAACAGAAGGGGTAGGTGTTTATTTATAGACAATGAAGGGGTGCGAGTGAAGGGATGTGACCCTTCAAGTGGGTGGTTACACCCCAACCATTGCAATGGTTCAGTGAAGGGATGTGACCCTTCAAGTGGGTGGTTACACCCCAACCATTGCATCGGTTCGCCATAGTAGTTGGACCGATTGGTTTATTCCAACCGCCACATCGGTTCGGTCCGATTCGGTTCAACTTGGTTTAACCAATAACTCACCAACTATTGGCTTCTTCCCTTTTCATTCTCATTCACACCTTTCAAATCCCAACAGTAACTAGATGGATTTAGTAGCTGAATGCTTGTTGCCTTTTGGTTGTAAGCTCCTTGAGGCATTGGTTTAATCTAGAGCAGGTCAACTATGGTCCCAAGTTCTCATCAGAAAAGCACATGCTGCTACCTCCTCAATCGGCTCAGCTACCGTGTAAAGTCCTATTCTTTGTCTTAGTTGCTGCATCTTTATTTCTTCAGATGCACCTGAATCTGCGTTACTTGTCATAGTTGTTCTTTGGTCATTTAGGATTGTGGCTATGCTGGAGAGAAATGGAATGCTTACGATCACAAATGTTGGAGATTGTGGACTAAAGCTTATCCATAAAGGTATTAATCTTGATTCTGAGGTTGGTGTTCCTCGCATCATTCTATTTGTCATTCATTTATTCTACACAATTGAGGGTGGATCATGCGGTTTATTCTAATTGCAGGACAAATAATATTCTCCACTTCTCCCCACAAGAACACTATTTTGATTGTCCATATCAGTTGAGTTCAGAAACTGTCAGTCAGACATATCTCGGTGCTATGATATGTTCATTCATATTGCTGCAGCAAGACTCTTTCAACTTTTTATATTTAGACAATGTTGACGAACTTTCTCATCTTATCTACATTTGATCCTTCCGCAAAGGTTGGCAGCCTGGAAGTGATTGAGGGGGATATCATTGTGATGGTTCTGATGGCCTTTTCAAAAATGTTTGTGATCATGGGATTGTTTCCACAATATGCCAACATAGAAATGTTAGTGATGCTGGTAAGTTATTTGTTGTAATTTCGACGTGTTACTATTTTCTCTCATTTTACTAATTGCCTGTGGTAACTTCGACCATTTCAATGGTAGCAAAGGTTCTGGCTAACTTAGCGTGAGTTCATTCACTGGATTCAAGTTACGAGTCGCCCTACATTGGAACACAGGTCCAAGGTGACCATCAAACAAACTTCCAAAATTCATTCACATATGTTCATCCATAGTTGACCTGTATCTTTAATGTTGAAACTTTTCATCATCTCGATGAATTCTCTTGGCAGGCTATTGAGCTACCATGGTGGAAAAAGATCCTTGGCATCCAACAAGTATGGCAGACCCCTTTTCTGTTCATGCTTCAGCATTTCACTCTCTTTTAGCTGGTAACTCCTCTTTGAAACATAGCAGAAATTGTTGACTAACTGCTCGAACCCTTTGTAGGCAGGTGGGAAGCTTGACAATATTACTGTGATAGTCTGGCCAGATTGCAAGTTCATAGTAGATGGGGGATCATGGAGTCGGAGAAACAGACCTCCAGGATGAACCTCAATCTGAATGTTGCAGTACAGAATGCGAACTTGTGCACTTCATCACAGTGGTAGCTATGGCGCTTCGAGCAAATAAAATCAATTTGTATTTGGATTCGAAGGCAGTTACGGCTTCTCAAAGTTTGGCTCAATGATATTCATTAACGTTCCAGCCACTTGTATGCTCATAACAGTTAAACCTAGGAAGTTCTGTAATTGATGGCATTGAAGCATTTCAATTCAATACACAGTATAATCAATCACATTTGCAAGAACTTCCGGAAGGCAGAGGCTGCATGTCAAACGGGAAATGCTCGCTTTCTTTATTGTACATGCTGCTACAAGCTCCAATTAAAGCGAGTATACAAGAATTGCCAACTTCAAGAACATCAGCTATTACAAGAAACAGAACTACCAAATTAAACTTTAATAGATAAGAACATCTCCAAAAGGTCAAAACTCAAGCAGGGCGAAAGAGAAATGCAGATTGATGATACACGGAGCTTTCACCCAGTCCATAAACCCGGAAAATGAAAGAACCCAATAGGATTATTACATGGGCGTGTACAACATTAATAAACCGTAATCTCGACCTCGTCAAAAGTAAACTCTAAATTCATCGAATTGATTTGTAATCTACTTCTGCCTATAGTTGCCAGTTGCAAGGGATAAACCCCATGTCTGGATTACTCTGTTGCTGAAGCCTAAGATCTTGGTACTACTTGTACAGAGCATTATTACGGTATCAAATTGTGATTCCATCCATGACTTCCCCACCTCAACACCGTTCAAGTGATAGTGCCACTGTTGTTAGAGCTGTCATTGAGTTCGTGGAAGAAGTTTTTGGAGGCTTCGTAGGTAGACCAGCAGATAGCAGCTGCAGGTGCATGGAAAAGCATCCTTGGAGCCCAACCCCTCAGCAGCCCTCTGTACCCATCCTTTTTAACTATTGTTTTCAAAACATCACTTATTGAACCACTTTTGAATCTGTCGCAACCGCAAACACCCTGAAACCACGATAACTATAGTTAGTTATCCTCAAACCACAATCATTACATAGGAAAGCATGGAGCAGGGGAGTGCAAGCAACAATTACAGGCGACACTAACTAGTTTGTTGAGTTTTGTCATTACATCTATATAAGTAATGCATAAATCATAATTGACCTAGCATGTTCCCATTAAACATGAAGAATATAGCCAAAACTACATTGTTCAAGGAAACCTTAGAAAGAGTAAGCGAAAGTTGTGGTGATTACGCAAGTGAGACTTCAAAGTCAGCAAACTAAGGGAAAACTGTACTGCCCCCTGAACAAGAACAATGAAGCTGCACACTTCTCGTCTAGCTTGAGACGGGAAAAGTTCGAGTTACTTGTTTGTTTCCTAGGAAAGGGATGCTACTCAACAAGAGCTAGAAAATCATGAAGGTCTTGAACTGCATTGGTCAATACAGGCGTTTGTTTCTATCCAAACATGTTGAGCAGATGATAGATACCAACTACGGAGAAGGATTTCACTCTCTAAAACCTCAGCAATATTATCTTCTTCCTACCAACCTTGAATCGACAATCTCAAGCAGCCACTGTTTCAAGTAGTGCATTTTCCATACTAAATATAAAACGTGCTCACTGAGATGAATTTGTTGACCTATTGCCCAACTAAATAGATGTTTGGGGAAACTGAAGAACTTATGAATATGACAACTTGTAGGAAAAGGTTCCGATTGCCCTTACTACAGAGTGTAACTGCAAAAGTTGTCGCAATTGCTCCTAGTACAGAGAATCACCAGCCAAAACACATAAAGCAGCATAGCATCAGACTAAGTTTACATGTAGAAGGAGAAGTTGAGGAACCATGAATCAAAATAAAACTAAGTGGCTCGTGTCAACCGCTTACATGCCCAAGCCAACATGACAGCAGAAATCACAACCACTTGAAAATCAGACAAAGCGAGTGTCACATTCTATCTACAGTTGCAATGTCACTGAATAGCAAGGTCGCCTCTTTCACTACTAATTGACATAATTTCCAACCTTTCTTCTATGAAATGCACCATCCCTTTGTTTCCCTACACCTAATTGCTTTATAAGTATGATAAGAACTTCTAAAACCAATAGCATAAATAACTCACCTGACATTGCAATTGAGTCTTAACCACATCAAGTGGAGTGGTGATGACAGCTGCTAGTGCTCCAGCAACAGCTCCAGCAGTGGCGTGGACAATCAAGCTTTCATCGTTAGCGCTATCTGGCGAAATCTCAGCCAAACCTTTCTTCGCGGCCTCATAGGTGGCAAAATGAACCGCCGTGAAAGGAGCGTTCATCAAAACTGTAGTCCTATACGAAGCATAGAAAGCACCAATACCCTCTTCTCTAAAGACCCTCTTCACACAATCCCAAACTCCCCTATACACGGTGTTGTTCCCCAACTGCAGTCTCTGCTTCACCATATCCATAGGAGTAAAAACGGCGTCGCTTGCAACGGTAGCACATACTCCGGAAGCAGCATGAGCTAGTGAATTGTTCGGATTGTTCCCAGAAAACCGCTTCTTACACGTCTCATAGACCGAGAAATAAACCGCGTGGGCGGGGCCAGCGCCGAGACCCATTGCAGCGATGCCGCGGTAGAGTCCGGCGGTGCCCTCCGTCTTGATAATGGAACGGAAAGCGTGAGAGATGCTTACGGATTTGATTGGGCAGGACCCAATTGCCTGCATGTGGGTCTTGATTGTGTCGACTGGAAACATAGCCATGTGCTCCACCATGCCGGCGATGGAGCCGGCGATCATGAACTGCCAGAAGTGAAGGCCGTCGTGGGCTTTCACGAGAATCTCGGGATGGAAATCAGGGGGCTGGGGAACTGGTCTGAAATCTGGGCTCTGGAAATCGGCGGTGGCGGTGGCTTCGGTAGCCATGAGGAGAAGGAAGAAGAGAAGTTAAACAGAACTGATTGAAGGGTTTTCAAATGGGTTTTGTAGCTCACATGGAAGGAGAAGTTGGGGAACGGAGAAATCCAGAGAAGAAGAGTCGCTAGGAAAAGGATTGAGACCTTCCTTTTGCCTAATGGGATAAATGGTTTGGCTTGCCGCTTCCGCAAGTTTTAGGGTTCCAAGAATGGAGGAGAAGGACTCGTCAACTGGAGACGCTTGTTAGTCCGGATTCGAATTACAGATCCTTTTTTCTTCCCACTCTGCAATTCTTCCGATTAAATCTATTTAGAGGTCGTTTGGATTAGAGTTTCTAATGAGGGATTTAGGCACAATCCCTCACCATTAGAGATTTTAATTAAAATCACTCGTTTGGGAAACAAATTTTCGATGAGAGATTTTAATCATTCCGGATTTGAGAAACCCACATTTGAGAGAATGTGAAATAGCTGATGCCCACCAGCTATTTCGAAATCCTGCAATATTTTGTCCATTTGTTCCATATATGCCCATACTATTTTTCTGAAAATCCAACTTTACCCTTTCTTCTATTAACCCTTTCAATAAAGTGTCATTCGTTTAACCCTCCTCTGTTTTACTCCCACCCGTCTGTTTAACTCCCACCCGGACGAAAGAGTTGGAAGACGAACAAACAGCTAGTTTCAGAGAGTTGGGAAGCAGCTCACACCAAATTCGGCGGTCAGCAGCAAAAACCAACCTTCACCAGCAGGTGAGTTTTGCCGAACCTTCTCTGTTCTTCCTCCTTTGATTCTTTTATGGGATATTGGCTTCATTTATATCTATATTGGCTTCGTTTGTTTATATATATATATTGGCTTTTGGGTTTCAAAACTTAAATGGTGTAGTCTGTAATCCCTTTTATTTGTTTGTACTCTCTTTTATTTGTTTGCTGAACCTAGAATATGAGACAAAAGTCTCGGCTGTGTATTTCAATTCCATAAAATCACCATTCAGACTACTACCAGCCATGAGAATCAGTAAAGGATGTCTATTATTATTGTTTGTTAATTTGTTATTGTTATTGTTTGTTAATCAGTAAAAGCTAAATATGAACCATTCTCGGCTGTGTCTATTGTTATTGTTTGTTATGGTTATTGTTTGTTAATCAGTAAAGGCTGAATATGAATCATTATCGGCTGTTTATTGTTATTGTTTGTTGATTTGTTTCTAATTTTATTTTCTAGTAAAGGATGTCTCGGCTGTCTATGATGTCTCCGATGGAGAGGCGCAAACTGATTGCTGCGATTAGCGCATTTTGGAACCTTATAATGATCTATCTTGATCTAGGAATGGAGGTGATGAACCTTACAGAGTTATTAATTCGCAATCCTAGAATTGCCAGGCAGCCCGTAGATAGTTACATGATGCGACAGTTCGATAGACAAAGGGTGATTGACAAATGTACCAAACTCAGTGATACCGAGAGTCACAGAAAGATTAGGATGAACCGTAGCTTATTCAAGAAGTTATGTGACCTTTTAGTTGCGGAAGGTGGGCTGAAAAAGACTCGAAACACTGATGTAGATGAAATGGTTCTCACCTTCCTATTGGCTATATCTCATGATAACAAAATCAGGAGTTTAGCAGTTGATTTGAGGCGCTCTACTGAGACGATTTATAGATCGTTTCACCGAGTCTTACGGGCAATTCTTAGGCTCAACAAGCTTCTTATGAAGAAGCCAGAACCCATTCCAGCCGATTCCACCGACAAGAGATGGAAGTACTTTAAGGTCGGACTTCATTTGACTATTGTTACTAAAGATTTTTAGTTATAACTTTAGTACAACTAGCTAAATTGTTTGTCAATTTGTCATATAGAATTGTTTGGGAGCTCTTGATGGAACCCACATTGATGCCCGGCCCGGCCCGCCTTACCATCTCCGTCTTTTTAATGCAATTTAAAAATAAAATGGCATAATAGTCATCTTAGCCCCTCAATTATATGATGCTTGCCAAGCAAGCCCTTGAACTATATTTCTTTTACATACAATATAGTGGGAAAATATCAGTTTTAAATTTTAACTAATGTTTGATACTAATTACTAATTAGTGTTTCTATAAAAATGGGCGAGAGATGTTATAAAACTTTCATTATTATTGTGGCCTGCCTTGATTGAATGGTAGTATATTATCATTATGCAGTTACCCTTTCTTATGGTCTAGTTACCCTATAGATTACATTAATTAGTGTATCAATTATTTGGTCTAATATTAAAAATAATTTTGATTGATTGATTTATTGATTTTGAAAGACATGTATGGTAATTACTTATTAAGGGTTCATTCGCTTGGATTTTACGAAATTTGGTAACAGATAGAATAAAAAGTTGTTAATGTAATTATCCAATAGATCCGCTAAATTAAAGTTTGACTTATATAATTTGGCCATCCTCCAGAATAGTGATGGCAATGAGCGGATTTTGCCTAAATCATTCTCATTCCCGCTAAATTCGCACCATGCCCGTCCCATACCATGTGAGAAAGGTTTTGCAAACCCATCTCCATACCCGTGGGTTTCGGGTACCCATGGTTAGTACCCGTCCTGTACATCCAACATTATAATACATAATATTTTACATGTAGATTTTCAATTATAACATTAAACACACCTACTATATCATGAAGTCGACAAAGAGATCATCATTTTTAATACGGTTCAAAGCATCTTATCCTAAAAAATCTACTAATCCATATCAGAGTATAGTACAATGTCATCCAAATCATTATTCTCTACTCTGATACATCTATTAAGTAATAATTAAATAACATAATCTTGTTAACAAGGGAAAAAGTGAAAGAGTGAAGGTAAAGTTGAGAGAAAGAAATTAGATTTTGATTTGGGTGTCCACTCAATTGCATTTCTACTATATATTTTTCTTGAGTTATACTCACTATTATTGATAGTTTGCAAATTGATTCACATATTTTTCATATGTGAAGAAATATTTTTGGTGGGCCGGGGGAGACTAAAATCATACCCACCTCATACCCATCAAACTTTTTGCGGGTTTTACCCATACCCAAACCATACACTACAAAAACAGTACCTTTGGCAATGGAATAAGTCGTCGTTGAAACATCAAAATCCGTCGCAAATTGTTTCTGCGACGACAATGGTCGTCGCCAAATCCTCAATCCTTCTGTCGCCTATACTCGTTGCCCTAGCTTTCCGCGACGATTATAACTGTTCTGTCGGCAAAAAGAATGATTCGTCGCTAAAGAGATAAGCTATTGCGACGACTATGTCGTCGCCAATAGTTTTCAGCAACGAAAATGTCGTCGCTGAAGCAATAGATTTTGCAACAAACGTTTCATTTCGACAGAATATAGTGAATCAAAAATAGATTTAGCGAAGGAGATATCGTCGCGGATTAGATGCTTCAGCGACGAATTGTTCGTTGCCAAACTTTTCTTTCTCTGACGAAATTATTCATCGCGGTAAGGTCTTTCTGCAACAAACTAAGTCGTCGCATCATCGTAGGAGATTGCTTCCAATCTTTTAGCGGCGACTTATTCCGTCGCAAAGAAGCACAGATTTGGGATTCCCTGTATTGACTGGGTCGGGCGCAATTGGATATCCATGGGCATGGGTTTAATTGCCATCCCTACCCTGGATACATTCCACGAAACTTTTGAAAATAATCAACGCATGCATATTGCTTTGGTTATTTAGCTATGATAGATGTTTAAGGGTTCTTTTGTTACTCGAATTTGGTATTCAAATGTATTGCATGGAGGATTTGCGCAAGTACAGTGTTTAGCAGTCGAATTGAAGACGGTGTGTTTCCTGCTTGTCTTTCCCATGGAAAAATCTAAATACGTGTAGTTCACATATCCTGTTGATTTTGTTATTTTGGATATAAATGAGGATGCGGATGTGCCTTTGATTTTGGGTAGACCATTTCTCGCCATCGCCAAGGAGTTGATTGATATGCATAGTGGCAAGTTAATTTTGCGGGCTGGGGATGAACAAGCTACATTTTCTATTTCTAACAATGCGAAACATTCCCATATGCATGATGATTTGGATTACTGTGACATGCTTGTTGATTTTGAAACCGCACTCGCCATCACGAGTGCGGGTATTGACGATGCCCTTGAGCGTTGTATTTTGCTAGGTGAGCAGGCATCGTAGGAGCTGCAGCTTGAGGAGCAATTGGTTGCGCTAGAGCGTGGCGAGTTCCTGGAGGTCGAGAAATCGTTCAAGCCGATCTCATCCTCGACTTGCATCACCACCTCTCTGTAGGAGCCACCAGAACTGGAGCTGAAGCCCCTCCCTTCTCATTTGGAGTATGCATTTCTCCGGGAGGGGAATAAGCTTCCAGTCATCATCAGATCAACCCTCACACCAGAGCAAAAGACCAGACTGGTGGCCCTGTTGAAGTAGTACGAGCGAGCTCTGGCATGGAAGATCACCGATATCCGAGGGATCAGCCCTTCCTTTTGTTCCCATTGGATATTTTTGGAGGATGATATTCGGCCGGTGCGACAGCCTCAGCGGAGATTGACATCGAACCTGGAGGTTGTGGTTCGAGCGGAGATTATCAAGTTGATGAACGCGAGAATCATCTTTGCCATTTCTGACAGCGAGTGGGTCAATCCCACTCAAGTGGTGCCTAAGAAGGGTGGGATGACCGTGGTCCCAAATGAGAAGAATTAGCTCATCTCGATGAGCACGGTGACCGCGTATTGCGTTTGCATCGACTATCGCCGCCTTAACGACGCTACCTTGACCATTCATTGACCAGATGCTCGAGAGGTTGGCGGGGAATGAGTTCTACTGTTTCCTGGATGTGATGTCCGGGTATTTTCAGATTCCCATAGCAACGGAAGACCAGGAGAAGGACACCTTCACCTGCCCTTTCGACACATTTGCTTACCGGAGGATCCCATTCGGTCTTTGCAACGCCCCAGCCACATTCCAGCGGTGTATGCTTGCCATCTTTGATCGTCTGGTCAGAGAAATCATGGAGGTGTTGATGGACGATTTTTAGGTTTATGGAAACTCATTCTCTCACTATCTCCATAACCTGGAACTCGTCCTGAAAAGGTGTGAGTAGACAAACCTGGCGCTGAGTTGGGAGAAGTGCCACTTCATGGTTCGCGATGGCATAGTTCTGGGGCATAAGATCTACAAGATGGAGATAGAGGTGGACAGAGCCAAGATCAAGACAATCAACAAGCTGCCTCCTCCTACATCTGTCAAGGGAATTCGCAGTTTCTTGGGTCATGCAAAGTTCTATAGGTGGTTCATCAAGGACTTCTCGAAGATCGCCTTGCCCCTGACGAAGCTCATTGAGAAGGATTCCCCCTTCCATTTCACTGGCGCGTTCAAAACAACATTCACGACCTTGAAGGAGAAGCTCACTCATGCTCCTATCATGTTTACTCCCGATTGGACCTTACCATTCGAGCTGATGTGCGATGCAAGTGACTTCGCAGTTGGAGCTGTCCTAGGGCAGAGGTGAGACTAGCATTTTTGGCCTATCTACTACGCATCGAAGACCCTCAATGACGCCCAGGAGAATTACGCCACCACGAAGAAGGAGCTGATAGTGTACACAGATCACTCTGCATTAAGATACCTGATGAGCAAGGTCGACGCCAAGCCTCGGCTCATACGATGGATCTTATTACTGCAGGAGTTCGACATCGAGATCCGGGACAAGAAGGGAGCCGAAAATTTTGCTGTTGATAATCTCTCCTGGTTGGACGCACCTCTTGCGGACAACCTCGAGGAGGAGATCAATGACTCCTTTCCAGATGAGCGATTGATGGTGATGTGCCTGGTGGAGAGTGTCACCCCTTGGTTCTCCGATTTCGCGAACTATCTGGTGGGCCAGCAGCTGCCCAAGGGGATAACGACTCATGCCAAGAGGAAGTTCTTCTTTGACCTAAAGCACTACTTCGGGGATGACCCGCATCTCTTTAGGATCGGAGCCGACAGGGTCATCCGTCGCTGTGTCATGGAAAATGAGATGGAGGGCATTCTGTATCATTGCCATGTGGGACCTACTAGCGGGCACCATGGCGGTAACCGCACAGTGAGGAAGGTACTACAGTCGGGCTTCTACGGGCCCTCGCTCTTCAAGGACGCCGACACCTTCTCACGTCGGTGCAACCGATGCCAGAGGTCAAGTAACATCTCTGCCCGTGATGAGATGCCCAGAATGTGTTTATTACTTGTGAAATTTTTTATGTCTGCGGTATCAATTTCATGGGCCCCCTTCCCTCCATCATTTGGTAATCTATACATCTTAGTTGCTGTGGATTACGTCTCTAGGTGGGCTGAAGCGCAGGCTTTTCCCACCAATGATGCTAGACGTGTTTGCCAACTTCTTAAGCAACTGTTCTCTCGGTTCGGGATGCTTAGAGCCATCATTAGCGACAGAGACACCCATTTTCAGGGCCAATTCGATAAAATCCTCTCTCGCTATGGTGTCACTCATAAGGTGTCTGTGGCCTACCACCCTCCAAACGAGTGGTCAGGCCGAACTGACAAATCGGGAGCTTAAGCGCATAATTGAGAAAATGATGGATCAATCTCGCAAGGATTGGTCCACCAAGCTCGATGATGCTCTTTGGTACGGATGACAACAAAACCCGAAACCACGGGTACCCCAACCGACCCAACCCGGTCAAC